TGCAGCTACCTAAATATACTATCCAGATGTAGGAATGCGTAGCTGCAAGAAAGGCATGAAATCTTTTAAAAGATCCAACAGCTCGTCCCGATAAGCGTCGAGAAAGCGGGCACCAGATGACGAATAGAGAAAGTTGCCTAGGGTGTCTTGCGAGCTTCCATGTCCTTAGTGTAAGAAACGAGGGGAAAAACGATTATGGACTCGCAGACGAAGCGCACCAAGACAAGAAAAGCCCAGATGAAGCCCAAGGGAGGTTCCATCCCAAAACCAATTGGTGGAAGGAGAAGTAGCCCAGTAGACTTATAAATTAGGTCTATTTCCCTATATAGACAATTTGGGACAACTTACAAGTGAATATTGTAATACGTCCCCTCACTTGTGAGTCCTTAATAACAAGCCCAAGCTCATACACGGAGCCAGGAGCTCAAGCCCAAATAAACTGAGAAACGGTTATGTCATCGCACAGTCCCAATAGAACCGACTCTGATACCATGTAAGAAACAGGGGGAAAAACGAGTGCAGTCCCACGCAGATGAAGCGCACCAAGACAGAGAAAGCCTAGATGAAGCCCAAGTGAGATTCCACCCCAAAACCAACTAGTGGAAGAGGAGTAGTTCACTAGACTTATAAATTAGGTCTATTTGCCCTATATAACTGTTTGTCCTATTTTTGTTGCATTTTTCGTGCTCGTTTTATTTTTATTTTTCCATCGTTTTAGGTTGTTTCTTTTGTTTTTAGTCCGTTTCGTGTTTTATGATGTGTTTTCGTTCATTTTGAGTCTTTAGGTGTTTTTTGTTTATTTTTCCGGTCTTTTTTGTGTTTTGTCGTTTTTTGTGTGTAGGTCGGGAGCTTCGGGCGAATTCTCTCTTCAGTAAAAATTGTTTCAAGAGCATAATTGAATAGAGGGGTTCGTTGGCGACGCGTAGGAGAAAACGATACTCAATTCCGAGTTTGAACGAGCTCAAACGAGCCCAAAACGCAAAGTGGCACAGAGCAGACCTTAGCGGCGCTAAGTGGTTAGCGGCGCTAACCCCTGTGCGACCAGATTTTATAAATCTCGATTTTTGCTCGATTTTTCGAAGGCCTTTCATCGGGACTCGTTCCCAGCACCGAAAAAAACACCTCAAAACTCATCTTTATCAGTTTTTCACCCTTGAGCACTTGAATCTTCATCATGGATTGATCTTGGAGAGTGACACTCCAAGGTTTATTTTCTTATTTTTTGGGTTTGCTTGTAATTTGGGTTTGACCTTGGCTTCTATATTAATTGTAAACATTAATTGTTGTTTAATCTATGGGATTGATGATATGTGTTGATATGGTGCTTTGTGTTGAATTCATTATGCGTAGCTAAATTCGATTGCTAGAGATAGGGGATGATTGTTCTTGTTTAACGTGTATTTGTCGGGCTTGATTTGTTCATTCTTATGTGAGTTGATTTAATTCGGAATTGCTGAATTCTTGTCCGATTGATTGATATAATCAAAGAGTGACACTTCAATCTTGCAATTGGTGACAATTGAATGTTAATTTATCGAATTAGGGCTTTGATGATTCTAAGCGATTAGTTGATTAAACACCTTCTAATTGAATAAGCGACTTTTAGAACCGAAAGGGAGAAGTCGTAGACTTAGGCTCTCATGAGGTAGATGATTTTGTAACTGAATAATCTATAGGTTTGGATTGAAATACATATTTGTCGGTGTCTTTTCCCTCGTTAAGAAAAGTTATTGGGATTGAATAATTAGCTGGTATTGTGTGCTCAAACTTGCTCGTTTATGTTCAATCCCTTGTTACGAAGAGTTATTGGGAGCGAACCGCTGGATGTTTAGGTGAGAGTGTCAATTCCGAATCGAACAATGAATTGCCCAGTTTTGCTAAAGAACTTGAATTGATAATCCCCGACTCCCTAGCTTCTTTTTCATCGTTTCACTTATATTTCTAGGTAGATTCATCTTTTTATTATTTCTTAGTTGATAGTCATTCAAACTCTCTTATCTGATTAGTATGTTTAGGATTTATTTTCTTTATGTGTGTGATCGATATCAAAGCTAAATTCCGAACCGCCCTCCTCGAGAGATCGACCCGGGAAATGAATCCTTCGATTTGGTGCTCGGTAAAAATAACAATTTGTGCTCATGTGGGACAACTCAAAAGTGAATATTCTAATACTTAGCAATAGTCTGGTCCTTGAATTTCTCGACTTTGTGGGTCTTAGTTTCTTGAGCTCGAGCAACCTCTAAGGTCGCGTTCTCCTCCTTAAGTTGCTTGAGGTCGGCCTTGGTCGCCTCCAGCTCTTATTTGAGTTTGCTCGTTCTGAGCTTTTCGACCTTTAGCTCTTTTTTGAGCTGGTCCCACTCAGAGACTAAGGGTGCTTGTCCTTCAACAACCTCGTGAAGGATAAGAGCAAGGCTAGACAAGAAGTCCAAAACAAAATGAAATGGTTTGGCTTGACAAAAAGCTCAACATATATATGTATAAAAGATAATAATATATGATAAAGAAATGGAGGTAAGTAAAAAGGGAAAAGGAAGTACTTCGGCAATGTGACAAAAACAATACTTAACTCGCATTTTGGAGTCGCCACCCCACCGATTTGTTCCCCCTCAGGGAAATATCAACATTAGGTAGGAAGCTTGGACCTCAGGATCTTTACTGACAATTAACCCCGCAAGTTGTTAGATGCTCGGGGGTGGAGAATATCGTCCTCCTTGGATTTTTTGGAGGTATTCCCGACCTTGGATGCAACTCAATTCCTCGAATTTAGAATGATCCTCCACAGAGGCTCGGTTGCTGACTGTTGCTGAAGGGCGAGGTGGAAATGACTCCCGACCTCAGTTTATATTAATGTTGAAAAAAAAATATTCGTAAACAAAAATAAATTTCATATGTCATATATAAAAACTAATAAAATATAAAATTATTAGTTTTATAAATATATTTATATTTTGGATTAACTATATTATATTTTATAAATTTAAAAGTAGCATGCATCAAAATTTGAATCTCACTTACAAAAGATTGAAAATAAGGTTATTCGGGTCATTTGGCCCAACAAATAAAAATGGGTGCACCCATATTTGCCGATTGCACTCTCACTCGGGTCCCTGGTAACACCTAAAAAATAGAACCACAGACGCACGACATCGTTTGTTCGACCATCTCTTTCAGATCGCCTTCTCTCTCGCTCGCCATAGCTTCCCAGTAAGCATCTTTAATTCCTGCATGCAATTTGTAGGTTTTATCTTCTGTATAATGGTTGGATTGCATGGTTTTCGAGGGGAATTTCTCTAGGGTTTTCTTTATCTGTTTTTCTCAATTGTTTTGTGCGTTCAATCATTTAGAGGCGTTTTTTTCTCCGAGTGACGTAAATGAAAACGAACATGACGAAATTGCGCTCTTATTTGGACCATATGCCATATTTTGCAATGCTCGAGTAGCATTTCTACTTTGTCGACTGTTTTATGCTTATTTATGTTTTTCGGTGTTCATGTGAAACTTCTTTTCTACTTCGAAAATAAATATTTGTTTGATTTGTTTGTTCCTTGTTGATGGTTGATGGTGGACACATTTGGGTTCAGAGGCATTTTATTGAGTGTTTTTTTTGGTGGGGTGGGTATTCTTTAGTCTTTTAGAGCAGTTCAAGCTCTTCTTAAGTTAGCTTGAACGATTAATTTGATTGACTTGGTAGCTGGAGAGATTTTAGTAATTGAAACCAAGTTATCAGAGTAGCACTTGATTTTTAACTATTTGATTTTTTTTTATTGAGGATGTTGTGCTCAAATGTGGTTCTGGTAGAGCCTTATGAATCCACTTATCATCGAGTAGTAGCTGTGGCATCGTTTTTGTTTTGTTGGGACTTGGGGTAGCATGTACTTAAATGTTGTTATATCTAAATTGTATGGAATATATGGATATTACTAAGCTTATAAAGATTATTTGGATATGCCGCTATTGTATTTTTTTGAATAATTCCTTTAACTTCTGATGAACTGATGGCTGAATGTATTGGTAAGACTGCTAGAATTTGAGAAAAAAATCATAACAAATAACACTTGCTCATTTTTCTCATTTCTTTTCTTTTCTTGTATTTATTTATTTATTTCTGTGTCTACTTCAGTCCTCTTACCCTCTCTGTTTTGTTTCAAATGCTCTACTAATTGATTTATCCGTTAGAACCCTTCCAAACTACTTTACACTATATATTTCTAATTTTGTTGTTCCAGTGCTGTTTAACAAACATTGAGAGATTTCTTTGCATGCAATGGATGTGCCAGGACACTTTTACATCCTGAGATAGTCATGCAGTAGGTCAATTGAAACTTGCTTTCTCTTCTAAATTTGACCACAAAGACGTTGGGTGTTACTGCTGATCAATGTAATTTGTTAATTGTTTTCTCATTGTGGATGGTTTGAGTGGCTGTTTGACATTTCTGTCTATATATACATAAACATATCAAGTTTGGATAGTTTTTTAGATGCGTAGTCATCCCTATATTGCAAGTTTTCTCTGAGTGCCAAACTCGAGCTTCTTTGTTTTTTGGACCTGTAACATAATGGAGTTTCTGTTTGGTTTTCTGAGCCTACTTGTCACAGAATTAGCAAAAAGGGGCAATCTGAGCCTAGTTGTTCTATAGGCATCTGAGTTTAGTGGTTCATTGTTGTTGCAGTAAAATTTCCTCATAAGATTTCCTAGCAGGCAATCTGAGCCTAGTTGTTCTAGCTTTGATTTTTTATTGTGCCTTTTGGAGACTTTTTCATTGTACACTTCATGACCATAGTTGTTTAATGCTTGAATCAGGTATATTTTCTGTACTCGAGTTCTCTTTTGGAAGATGAATATGCTGCATAGATCTTCTAATGGATATTAAAAGAGTTACTGCATCTAGGTCTTCTATTAAGTTTCATACTGTGAAAAAAATTCTAGCAGAACAAATTGGTAGGAATTTACAGTTAGCTCCACTATGCCAATATGTTATTTCTCTATTATAACTTAGACAATGTTAGGTAAAAGGGGGCTTGAATCGCGTTCAGGTGATCGTCTAATATACATAACTACATGCCTCATTGGACAATAAGTTGAAGTTCAGGTGCAGGATGGATCCGTTATTTCTGGATTATTTCATACGACAAATGTAGAGGATTTGGGTATGTCGAATAATTGATGATGCTTGCTGCAGAAGTTTACTGAACCATGCATGTCAAATTAAAAATGATCAATCAGCAACATAATCATCACCATCATAATTGCTGTTATTTATTGGACTGCTGCATTTTTTTATCATTAAAATTGGCCACTTTTGATACAGGAATTGTTCTGAAAAAGGCTCATGTAATTACAGATGGTTCTAGAGGACAGAAAAGCGTTTCAGATTGTCCTAGCAAGCCTCCTGCTAGGACTTTTACTGTAGCTGCTAAGGATCTTGTACAAGTGATAGCAAAGGTCTTGTTCATTTCTGTCATACAACAAAATTTTACTTTTGTTACTGAAACCGTATTGGACAGCTAAATCAACAATATATAAATGCTGTTACGTGTTTCTGTGGAAAGTTTTTTTTTATCACGACTTGTCTAGCAGGATTTTGGATATTCTGGTTGATTGGCTGTTCTTTACTGAAAATTGTGCACGTGTCACTTTTTTTTTAATAAAAAAAATTGGGATAGGAAGTGTCAATGTCAGCGAACAGTCTAACAAATGAGTTCCAGAATGAAAGGCTGGAAGAGCTTATGACAGATTCCTGCATATCACAATCTCAGCACGTAGAGGTGGGGGAAGATTTGGAACCTTGGGTCCCTGATGAAAATGATCCTGGTTGTCCGGAATTGGAAAACATATTTGATAACCCTTGGAATAGGTTTGGATTTACCTTGCTTTGCAAATTTATAGATTCGGGAATGATTCTTTGCGTTCATGACCATTATAGATACTGTATCTGAAACTTTTTTTATGTTTGTTAATTCATTTTGAATTTGCTTTTATTGAAGTTTTAGAGATACTTATGCTTAGTTGCACAATAACATATCTATATAGTATAAACCATGCATAAACACTTTTATGATGCTCAGTTTGTTGAAGAATCATGTTTTCTATTGAGAAGTCCCTAGGTTGATTCTTGTCATCCCCTTTTATATAATTATGTTTCTCATGTGATACTTGTATATGACAGAGGCTGGGATCAGTTGGAAACGAATGCTACTTTATTTGGAGTTGAGAACACCTTGAATGAGGAACTTTACACAACAAATCTTGGGAGTAGCCCTCAGACGAGAGAATTGGAATTGGAAGCTACACATTTAGCTAGGGAGTTTGAGGGTGAGCACACCCTTGATCTTCACTTAGTTGAGGTGAGTTTTGAGACTGGGCTATCTTTCTTTCTTTCTTTCTTTTGGGGGTTTCTAGGCTGTTTTCTGCTTCCGTTTTAGTGGTTGTTTTGTGTTTCCTTTACCCTTGTGTCCTTATTTTGATAGGAGAAAGTTATTCAATCCGATGAAATTGATGAAGAAACTCAGTTCTCCTCAGTCTCCCGGAAATTCGATGACAGTGGTCATGACGAGGTTGAGAACATTTTGGTGGATTCTCAAAATGGTGAAACATTTGGAGATGTCTCCAGTACGGTTATTGGCAAATCTCCAATAGACATGATTATGGGGGAAAACATTGATGGAATTGAAGCACCGCCTAGATCTTCAGCGACGGTAAGTGTTTATTGTTTTTGCTTTCTAACTTCTGTTTTCCTTAGATTTTAAAAATGATTTAGGATGATTAAGGGGGAGGGTGATCCAAATAGTTCTACCAGAAGTGAATGCCTGTACCAATACAAATAAAATGAATATTTAACCCACATTATCGAAATACTTTAAATGTTTTTGTCATTATTTTACTCCCGTCTTTGCCACACAATTGTGTTCCTGTCTTATTTTTGTTGAAACTACACACTCCACTTTAATGGGACTCTGCCTAATTGCTAGTTTATTAACGCACCTGTTTCGAAAAACAATTGGAGTTATATTGGGTTAATATGACATTTGGTATCTAGTACCAGAGTGCCACTCTATTGTCGATTTAATGTATTAGTATACTGCTTTTGCTTCTTCATCTTTGTTGAGATTTTTTTATTTCTCTAATTAGAAATTTGATTCAACGGGTTTGTCTTTCTCCATTGTTTAGTGTCTGTCAGTTAATGTAGATTACTCTGACCAGATCCATGTTTTTCTTGAATCTTCTTAAGACTATTGACATATTGAATTATATGTTGCTTGCTGAAACTTTGGATTTACTAGTCACTGATGATGGCATTTAATTCATTTTGCTAAGCAGGAAATGATTGGATCGTTGATTCCTGACACAAGTGATGACAGTGTTCTCCTATCTGAAGTGACCGAGAGTAAGAACTCGAATTCTCCCCTCGGTATTGGTTTGAAGCCCAATTTTGCGCTTTTGAATGGGGAAATAGACCTGGACAATCTGTCGGTTAAAGTTCTTCAGGAGACTTTTAAGGCAACCTTCGGAAGAGAAACTTCTGTGAAGGACAAAATGTGGCTCAAAAGGAGGATAATCATGGGTTTGACTAATTCTTGTGATTTCTCAACCACAAATCTTTTACTTAATGACAATAGAGTGGTAAAGAAGGGTAAAGAGGAAACTCGTAAAAATACAGATTGCTCTGTTTCAGTTGATTTTGCTGTTACATCTGAGGTGGAGAGCCATGAAAGACATACTTGCACTAATAAACAAAATGGGACCAGCACAGATTCCATTGGGATGCAAACACAAAGTTATTTTCAAGAAAATTGTGAAAGTAAAGATGCTTATCCCGAACAAAGACCTGCGAAACGAGTTCGTAAGCCTACAAAACGATTTATTGAGGAATTTTCTGAAGGAGAATGCAGGGATTCTGGTGCCAAAACAGTATCATTGGTTAAACATAATAGTAAGCCGTCAGCATATGTTTGTGAGAGACCTGTTCATGATTTTGGACCGAGTAGTAGATGTTTTCTCAGGGAAGATTCACTTGGAGGTTCTGGAGTTCAGGTCCCATATGTTTCACGGATTAGGCGGAGTCGTCCAAGAGAAAATTTTATGCCCCTCTTGGTAATGTGAATATATCAAGCGTGGTTACATATGAAATCGATAATTTGGAAACTTCTTTTGTATGCACCTGTCCATAGTTTTAAATGGAGAATGGCGAGGCGATTGGCCCATGGCCTCGCTACGAGGCGAGGCGATTCGCCATGGCGAGGCCTCGGCTACGCATATCACCAAAATTTAGAAAAACAATATTACAACTTGTGCAATTATATAGTTGTGTACAAATGATAAAAATAACATCAAATATCTCCCATAAAGGCAAGTAATTGAAACACAAACACCACTTAAGAAAGTAATTGAAGGTTTTTGAAGGTGAAGAATTTTTTGCTTATGTCCTCAGTCCGGTAAAAACCTAGCTTCTGGGTCTGGGAGATGAAAGCCCGATGTGCTTTTTTTATTCTCTTTTCCAGAAAGTGTTAACATGCATTTATTATTATTATTATTTTTTTTTAAAATAAGGGGTGGTCTGCGCCTTTAATTCCCCTGAAAGGCGCCGAGGCGCGCCACACAGGTGCCTCTCGCCACGTGAAAAGGCGAGCTGAGGCGACCTGAAGCGAGCGCCTCGCGAACAAGGTCGCCTCAGGCTCGAGGCGTCGCCATTTTAAACTATGCACCTGTCTGAACAATGTCAACTGAATCTTGGCTTTATGTACACCCTTCACTTCTTGATTTTTCCGTCGCATTGTATGTGAAAGCTAAATGAGTCATTGCTTAAGGAAGTTGGTCTCTTCCCCTCACTAACTCACCCCACTACACCTTGGAATAGGAAAGATGAGAAAAAAAAAAAAAATCTCTCAGCGCGGGGAGACCATTTCAAGTGACATTATATAATCTTCTGTTATTATTATTATTATCGTTGTCGTCGTTGTCGCTATTAATATTATTATTTTTCTCTACTCTCTCTGGTTGATGATTGTGCTCCATGTATGTTGGTAGAACAATATGTTTTCATGCTAGCTGGAAATGTTTGTTTTTCCAATGAAGAATAACCTATTATAAAAAAAAATCGTGAATTCATTGTCGATAAATTATTACTTTATGTAAAGTAGTCATTGATGAAATCGTGTGATATTGTGCTGGTAAGCTTGTTGGATGGTGGTAATTTACGCGCTTGCAGCTGTGATGTTCAGAAATTTCAGTCTGGTGGTTTTGAAATATCTAGTAGCCTGGAGAAGAATGGTGTTGCATCATGCAAAGAACTTGAAAATGAAAGCGATCAAGTACTCAAGAGCAGCATGTCTCACAAATGGTCTCAAGAGCCTGTAAGTTATTCTGACAGAAAACTTTGTTTTATTCATATATCTTTTTCCCTTTTCTAAATGCACCATATATGTAGTTCGCTTAACTTGGGTTCATCATATTTGATGATTTCAATACACAAGAGCTTTTGTTATTTTCTCTATGTTGCTTGTTCAGGTAATAGTTTTCTCAAAAACTAAAACATGAAGACCTATGGAGTATGTTGAGATAGCTGGGTGAACAATTCTCCATTAGAATTTCACGTTAGAAGGGATTTTGATTTTTATTTTCTATTCCTTTTCTGGTCAGAGGCCCAGCTCCCTCGACAAGTACTTCCTAGTGATGACAGCTTTGGCTTCTTTTTTCCAAGTCCCATGCCATACACTTTCTTTTTTCTTTCTTTCTTTCTTTCTTGTTCTATTTTTTTTGTTTTATTTTTTTATTAATCGATTACTAACTTGGTAAACGTTTTGGAAATCTTTGTGCTTAGGTCGTTTGTTCTTCAGAAAGACGCAAGTTTTACATGGAGAAGAAAACAATTCAGCTTAAACGGGACAGTCAACGCAGAAAAATGAGGTCATATAAGACTAGTTCAGACGATGAAGTAGTTACTGTTCCTACTGCTAACGGAGGAATGAGGAGGAAACATCATCGGCCTTGGTCTCTTAGTGAAGTTGTTAAGCTGGTTGAAGGGGTTGCCAAATATGGTGCTGGTAGATGGTCTGAGATCAAACGTGTTGCCTTCTCATCATATTCTTACCGGACTTCTGTTGACTTGAAGGTTGGTGTTCAGCTATTTAATTAAACCAGGCTATCAAACATAATACATTGAATTATAAAGTTGTTATTGTTCACTTCTACTAGATTTAACATCTGCAATTATTATGCAGGACAAATGGAGGAATCTACTAAGGGCTAGCCTTGCCGAATCGCCAACTGGAAATGGGGTTAGCTACCTTTTTTTCGAAGTCAAATTTCCAATTCCCTACTCTGGCAGTTCCATTTTATTCAGAATGTTGATATCCATTATTTATTTATCATGATGCTCAGAACATGATATCCGTTATTTTTGTCATGATGCTCATAACATGATGCATTATTTTTCGGTCCATTTCTAAAAATAGCCTCGAGGCTTAGGCTAACTAAAGAAAAGCCACTACTAGCTTTCAGGGGGTTCTGTGTACTGCAGAAAGTGTGTTGTGTGGTGGTGTTTTTTAAAGAAAAAAGAAAAGGAAAACAAAATCAGGTCAAGCACGGCAGTTTTTGTGACTATCTATCTATTTATGTTATTGGTTGTGGACTTATTTGATGGAATGACTATTAGTCTTATCATTTCTTATCACAATTTATGTATATCTTCTTTTTAATAAGTTCCCCATGATAAAAACAATGCACGTATATCTGAGAGATGCTTTTGTTTCTTTATTTTGTTGCCGTTAACCCTGCTGCATCTATTATGTATCAACTTTCACTTGGGTACAAAGTAAACGTAAATTGAGATTTTAACTACTTCAAAGTTATCTTACCTACTGTGTTTTATCTGTAATGCTATTTCAAGTAGTGCTATTCAGGTGAATATATCTATGTTCGGTAGATAACTGATTTTGTTTTTGGTATAACTAGGTTAAGCTTCAAAGGTAGTTTTTGCGGGTTATAGTTACTGGATAATCAAATAACTATATTTCCAGATGGTAGTTTTTTTGTTTTTTTGTTTTTTTGTTTTTGTTTTT